CTCCTGCCCAACTTGGTGTTGTCTGCAAAGTATCCTCTCCCCAAAAAGTACAGGGCTATGCTGCACATCCCTTGTGACAATAAATGTATTGGCAGGATTTTCTGTCCTCCTTCCCATGGAAAGGGACAGTTTAAGATTTTAAAAAGCATGTGTGTTCGATGTCCTCCCTGACATGAAGCAACTGCTGCCAGCTCCATGGCAGTGGCCAGTGCAGGCTGGTCGGAGCAGGCTCCTTGCTGGTGCCCTCTTCCCAACCTGTGTCCTCTGCCAGGATCAGTAGCTGTGCCGGGCAACTGTAAATGGCTTTCAGTTACATAAAGATGGTAGCCATCTCCATGTGGTGCTCAGCCGTGTCCTTTGATTTGTCCTATTAGTGGAGGAGGGAGAAGAAGAAGAGGAGGAGACAGTGGATGGTGAAGATTTGGATGAAATCCACACAGAGTCATCAGGAGAGGAGCAGGAGGAAGAGGTGGAGGAAGAAGGGGCTGAGAAAGCATCACAGCCACCTCAGCAGGACCCCAAACCGCAGAGCGCAGTGCGGGAGCCCCCAGTTGAACATGCGTCGGCACCGCTGCCCATCACCCCAGCTAGTCAGGTAAGTGCTGCCGGTGCTTCACTGCCCTGCCAGCTTGCTGCGCGCACCCCGGCAGAGCAAGAAAACACTCTCCTGCAGCCTGTAGGCACCATACATCAGGAGCATGGCTAAAGGAGTCGCTGCACTGGAGAGCAAAATCATTTATTGCCCTTGTACACATATACGCAACTGTACCCTGTCCTCTCAATCTGCGTATATATTGCTTGACAGGCAAAAAAATTATGCTGCTAGATAAATTGAGATATATATGGGATACATAAGATATAAATAAAAAGATTCAATTTGGGAGTTAAGCACATTACAATGGATGTTCTGCTGGCTGTTATTTAACTCAGACTATTATAAATGAAATGCTGTTAAAATATTTATACTAAGAGAATTTGGCATTCCCTCTGGATTTAGTGAGCTTTCCACCACCAATTTTTAGATTCTACTTCTAATCTGTTTTCTGTGAATGGCATTTGCTGCCTTCTGCTCTGGTCATCCCAGGGATATCGTTTACGCAGATTATACACCAAACAGAAGAGGAAACTGCTTCTTACAACCTAGCAGCAAACAGGTGCAGGGTGTGAATAATTTAGACCATCATTTTTTCTTAAGGAATGTTATTAGAATGAAACCATCATTTGCTGCATATTCTAAAAGATCTACATAAAAAAACTATACTTCATGTACTGCTTTAGCTGCCCTTAGATACAAATAGCTTAGAAAATTCTCCTCTTATGCAATTTACCCAGTGAAGTTTCTGAGTGGGTAAAGGCTGCTGTGATGATATTTGAGGAGGTCAGTGTGAAAACAAGTTTTGATTGTAGCAAGCTCCCCATATAAAACAAGGGGAAATAAATACTATAGATCCATTCCTACTTTGATTTAAAAACATACGTGAGTTTGTACCAGTTGTGTGAAGATGCTCTTAAATCAGATTTCATTGATTTAACCAAAGTTTGTCTTCTGAGGATTTGTGCTGACTTAACTAAACTTACGTAGCCTAACTGATACAGGTTTTTATGCAAACAAGAACTAGACATAAGCAATTCTGACCAGTATCATTAAGTCCCTCACTTCTAAGGTTAAAGTGGGAAAAGTATGGCATGCTGCTGCAACAATTGCAAATGCCATTGGGAGTTGGTCAGATGTGGAGTCAGACACAGCATGTGGGCGTTGCACTGTGTGGGATACCTGTATTTCAGCTTTTGCCTTCTAATGTAACAAAGGCAAAGCAGAAATGCTGTGATGATAGCAGGTACCGTGTGGGTGAGCCCCAAGAGCTTGATGCAGGTAGAGAGATGCAGTTCAGCCAGCTCTTCCTGGCAAAGTGCAACTGTGCTTGGCTTATAGCATTGATAGGAAGGCTGGTGGGCAAATGTTTCTCTCCAGTGTCTTTGTATTTCCCTTATTCTGACTGCTGATATCAACAGACTCATTGGTAAATGTGTTCGTCTTAACCCAAAACCCAAAAAAACATTCAAAGGTACCTACACCTCTCGTCCATGGCTGGTACCTGTTCATGAGGCTCTTATGCATAATTTCTTATATTTTTAGGATTGAACTGGGTGTTCATCTGAACTAAGAAATGGCTTGCTCACTCCTTTCTCAGTCAGCATTCCCTTCCCACCTGAGTCTACCCTCCTATCTATTTTTTGTGTAACATATTTTCTTTCCCATATCTGTGCTATTCAAATGATAGTTGCTTTTGCTTTGCATTTTGATTGTAATTCTTTCGGACCATATACTAGGACAAACCTATTCATCACAATGAGATATAACAAGCACGGCATGCAGAGCAACATGGCTACAGCAGGAAGGTAACGTCGTGCACTCTGCTTGTTCTTCTCTTTATCTGTCCTGATTAAGGATGAGGTTGTGACACCGAGTGGTTCTCAACAGACCCCAGAGTCTGACACTCAAGTGCCGGCCACAACAGAAACCATCGACCCCTTGTTTTACCCTAGCTGGTATAAGGCTCAGTCGCGGCAATCAAGCAGTCCAAGCTCAACCCCAGTGAGTGGGTTGGGCAAAATAGGGCCTCCTGTTTCTCTGGAAACAAGTGCAAAGAAGGCAGAAGTCCCTTCAGCGGCAGCGATTGAGGAGAGTGCACCAGTGAGTGGTAAGGAAAGTAATGCCACTGCAGCGACGTCCAAGGTCAGTGCTACCAAAGTCACCCCAGAGGGCTGTGATGCGCAGCAAGGCGGGAACGGCAATTGTTAAGGAAAATGTGTCTTAATTTTCCTCTGCATGCTAAAGAATAAGAATAATCTCAGAAGTATGGAAACAGCATAAATTGTCATTTCAGCAAATCCACTGGATTTACAGATGGTTTCAAAATGTGTCAGGCTGACCTTTCAGCTTCAGAGTAGCATGCCGACGGTTGCTTGTGCTTAACTGCCGGTGCACCTTGCTTGTGCAAGCTGTTATCCAAGATGCTCACACACACGCTCAGGAGCTGTTGGAGAGCCTGGCGATGCCTCTGCACAACCAGATATTTGCATGCATTAGTAGCAGACAAATCCCGTGCATGAGATTATTCTCATCACCTGTTGAAAGCCTGTGTGCATCATATACCGTCCCACCACCGCTGGTAGAGCAGCTACGGCTTGGCTTTGCCTTCTGCAGTTCTGTGGCTGCATCTGGAGCGTACGGCTTCCCCATGTGAACATGGAGCTATGCAAATACCTGGAGCCTTCCTGTGTGTTTGATTGCCTTTCAGTAAGCAGTGTGATTTCCTGGGTTCAGATCTGTTGCAGAGGGTTTCCTCCAGGATTGTTGGGACTTGATTAAAGGAGAGCATGAAGATAATATATTCCAGTCCTGTGTTAGACTACCAGCAGCATGATGGGACAACCGAGACTGATGTGCTGGGATACAGGAGTTTGTTTCCCTTAAAATGACAATGTTAGTGTTGGGATAACCTGAATTTTAATATTATTTTTTCTGCATATGTGTGCAAACTCTACATGAGTCAAAGATTCAAGGAACAGAGCTGAGGGAGCTGTGTGTGAAGGACTGGCACACTACACCTGCTGCTGCTCTAGTGCCTGGCAACCAGCCATTGAGCATCACTCTCTAAATTAGACCGTCCTGCTTTACAGTCTTAAGACGTATGTTTTGCCAAAGCAATTACCTGTATGTGTGTGACAAGAGGAGATTGTGTATATGTGAAAAAGCACAAGTGGGTATTAAGTATTTCAGTGCCGTTTCCTTTAAAGTTGGAGTTGGCCATTCAGCATACATAAGAAGCCCTACAATGAACCATCATGTGGCAGGCAGAAAGTTAGGAGTTCATACCGGTATGATAAAAGGGCACTTATGTTTTAGCTGGAGGCTTTAGTCAGTGACAATTGAATTTGGTGGAAGGATTCTCGACAACTTCAGTCTTAACAAAAGCAACATTTGACCCCCAAATTTCAGTAGTTATTTTTCAAGTCAGGGTTTGATTTGAGAGCAAGAGTGGAATAAAAAAAAAAAAAGTATTTTAAAATTATGAAATCTGCTATGACCTTGTCTTCTTAAGTATATTCCAAATGAGCTGGCAAAAGTAGGTAAATTCACAGTGAAATTTATTGCTGCTGTTTCTTCCTATCGGTTCCACTGATGACCAGGCAGCCAAACCTCACCATAGGCAGGCAAAATCTGTACTGGGTTAATTCCCTGGGAACTTGACTGACTGTGGTCTGATTCCCTGGGTCCTAATTTACCAACAGCAAGTAAAGGAGCAAAACTAACATTTGTTGTGGGCAACTGTCTGAAAAACAGCAGCAGTCTGGTACCCAGCTCTCTTCCTCGTTGGGTACCAGGCGTAAAAACGGGCACACGGGAAAGATGTCAGCTCCTGTTGGCGTGTGAGTTTGGGGGTGCTGGGTTTCGGTATCTTCCCAGATCACGAATGACACTGATGTTTTGGGAGGAGGAGGACATTAAGAAGAGTAGCGCACGGACGGGGGAAGGAAGGAGCAGGGGCTACTGCTGAGGATGGAGTCATCCATGGGCTGGAGGCAGGGGAAGCGATAGGAAAGCTCAGGGAGCAGAAAGGTGCAGCATGTGCTGAAGAACAGAAAAACCGGAGTGACCCAGCTAGAAAGGGTGATGCCGGGGGATGATGCTGAGGTTAGATTTGCGGATCTGAGCTGAAATGTGTCTATGTCATGAGCAAAATGGCCTCTGTTGTGTGGCAGTGATCATTTTTAAGTATGTGAACTTCAACTTTGTTTTTTTCCTGCATGTGATTTTTACACAGCCCACTCTGAAATGCCATATTTGTTTATTTTTTTTTAAACCCTGGCTGTTGTTCCCCACACCACTGTTTTTACTTCCTTTCTCCAATTAAAAGATATAATGGAAAAGTGCTGTGGAAACAGAGCTTTTTCACTGAATGTAGTGATAATGACTAGTTTGTGTCATGACAACACTGGTGAAGCACTCTTCTTATTTTCTCACAGGAGTTAGCATTCTGCATATCACTTTTGGCATTTCTTATCATACTACATCATCTTTGGAATCTGATTCAATACATGATTTGTACTTTCATGGGTAGGAAATATTTCATTTTACCATTAACTAACAGTTCAAATACTGTCTCTGGTGATGTTCCTACGTGGTTTTAAAGGACTTTTCCCCTTTCTTCCCATCCAAAAACATCATGCTCGTTCACAATACAAGCTGCCTAAAACATTTCTTCCTTGCGCCTTTGAAACGCCACCCTTCAGCTTACTCCTGCATGGTTAAACATTGCATCTCCCTGGTTCAAAATGAAGAGAGACATTTATTCCTTCAGATGTTATGGGCTTATATTTCAGTTGCTCTTCAGATGACCAGCAGGATGGAGAACCTCTGGGTTGACAAGAGATGTGAAGAGCCCTGAGCTTGTTCAGTCCAACATATGGGGGAGGAAGATCTGGAAAATAATAGTTGCCATCAGAGGGGTAAACATCAGAAAGAAAAATCCACTGAATAAACCTGTTGCCAGGATTCCCACCGTGAGTAGATCACCAGAGCTCCCTCATGGGGATGGATTGAGCCCTGCCCCCTGGAGATCCCGATGGGACCCCTTCAGGGAGCAAGGCTTGAACCATCCCCTGAGGGAGCACCACCATGGAGAGAGTCCCCTCACATCCCAGCCAACACAGCACACCCCAGTCAACACAGCACACCCCACACACTGGCAACTCCTCTTCAGGTCCTTTTTCCACCGAAGGTATCCACAGCCATCCCTCCCACATTCCCAGTGAGTGTTGAACACCAAACATGGCCCTGAAATACATACCCATATAGGTGGGGGAGATCGCAACCCTTTAGACACCCAAGGCTCTGTGTGTACTTTTAAAAGTCCATGCTTGAAAAATGTTTTTCTATAGGCAAAGGTTTTTTTTTTCCTTAGGCACTACTTAAGAGCTAAAATATCTAGAAGATCAAGGACTGAGAACTTCACTACCCAGTGAAGTTGTCCTGAATGCAAATACTGTGAATGAAACCTTAACTATTCCATAACACCTCTTCTGGAGTAGCTCCTTTTTTGGTAGCCACTTCCAGCTCCAATTTCACAACCTTCTTAGGTAAGGCATATATGTATATTCAATTTCCAAAGTGATATGGCTGATCTGTAAAGAATTCTGTTACCACTGGGGCATTTAATCTTATTTACCAAAGACCTCTGACACAAAACAACTGTAGTTACATTTGGGTATTTGCTCTAAGGACAGACGAATTCAATTCTGGTCTATTCTTCAACACAAAAATGCTTGTTTTTTCGTGCTTACTTTCTGTACTGCACTCTAAGCACTGTACAGCATGATATGGTGCATCTATGAAAAATTATAAATTATTATTCAGCTTTTATGTGCAAAAATTCCAGAACTATGACTGAAGTTTATCTCTCCATAAAAAAAAAAGGGGGGGGAGGGAGAGGGGAGAAGCTATCACCTACTCTTTAGTTGCATAAGCTATGCAAAAAGATGTGCTGTCTGGTGGTAGTTTGAAAAGCATCGGACACTGTGAATCTCAGTTAAATTTATGGTGTTTGGTTTTGAAAATTGGTTGTAGTTATTACAAGAGGACCTAGAGCTTGTTTGTACTCCTGTGAAATCAGGCATGTGAAGAGCATTATGCTCTTTTCCCTCTCTTTTCTAATTCAAAATACCTTTTGAAATTAAAAATAGACAAATGCAGAAAACTCTCATTGCTACCATTTGAGACCTCTGTGTGGTCTCTAGTGACAGCTTTATGATTTATTTCATCATGAAATAGAAAGGAGGTGAGGGAGAAAGGCATTTTGGTCTCAGACTCTATTTGCATGAAAATGATTTTTTTCTCCATGTGTAGTGAGGTGGCTGATTAGACAGTTTATGTGTCTTTATCTTTCATGGGAGATAACAGGTCACTGCCCTTTTCTCTTTTTGTGTAATAAGCTCCTGAAAGCCAAATAACCAAATTACTTGTAATAACTGTAATAATAATTTATAATAATAATAATATAAATCTGAATGACTGTCATCATAAAAGCAGCATATAATTTATTTTCAGGTTGTTTAAATAGAATGCACTGATAGGGATTTCCTTGTTTTTCAGCAGCAAAAAGAGGTCAGTTCCACCTATTAATCCCCCAAATTTACATTATTTAAGGGCTGTTTCACTCTAAGAAATTGTGTTGATGCATCAGGAAATTTCCTCCAGAGTGCAGGAGGGTGCATCAGGAGGGATATGACAACAGGAGGTGCAGCCCACAGGTGTACAGTTTGCTTGGTCTAAGAAGGGACAGCAGGAGATGATTCAGCATGTACAGAATAGGAAACTCCACACTAGAGAGATGCATCCCGCTTCAGGGAGTGCCTAAGTCAGAAGTATAGTCACCGCAGGCTGCTTCTGCGTCTGACAGAGGACGAAAGGCATCTCCAGCGAGAGAGACAGTTCACCAACTGCTGCTGGTTCACGCTTGGCACCTCTTCACATCTGCCTGCTGAGTGAAAGGTGATATTGCTCTTAATCCAGGTGCCTCTGCTCAGTGTCTAAAGTTGGGGGGCAGGGGATCTTCTGAAGCAAATCTGAGCCTCTGTGGATGACAACTGGGTACAAATGATTAAAGTACAAGGGAGTGGGAATAGTATCAATGAGCTGCTTTGCCACCACAGGGAGTAAAGTATGAGTGGAGA